AGTAACAAATTCATTATTATTATTATGTAAACTGTTACCATTACAAATGTAAACTGTTACCATTACAGACAGAAAAAAAGTAATAATCGTTACCGAATAAAAGCAACGAGTAATAACAATAATAGCATTAAGTAACGCCAATTTTGAAAATATTCAAGAGTATTAGCTCGGAAAATATTTCCGAGATAAACGGACGATATATTTTCGATATTTGTCTTAGTGCAGATATCTAAACCGTTTGATAAGAATGAAAAATTAAATATTAAAAAACCGTTCCTTACAATGATAGATTAAAATTCTAATATGTCTGCAATTATCCCATAGGTCATACAAGATATCCACACGCGCATTGCTGATGCCATTGACAAAGGCTTCGTCGTTGATATGCATGGCAAACACATCGACATTTACAACATAGATCACGGTTTAAATTATCTTGGCAACGTGATACAGGGCAATGCCGATTCCGTCAATCCTGTGTATTACGGACAATTGGAACATTTATACAAAAAAGTTCTCGGCGTAGGCCCGTTTCAGGTCACCAAACACACGACAGTTCCCATTGCTCTCGAATTTTTCTCCACCACTATAAGAGATCCCATATTCTATGGAATCCAAAAGAATATCGCTACTCATTGGATGAGGTGCGACTTAAATTTGCGACTTTGCACAGTCCAATTAATATAGCTTGAAATTATTTATTTAACTAACATGTATTCTCCAACGTAGATATAAGGAACGCTTGCCGAAGTACACACACGAGGAACTCGTTTTCCCGGGTGTTACGATCGAATCCGTCACCGTCGATAAGCTATTGACTTTCTTCGACTACTTTGAATCAATGCTCAACAACGCCGTATCGATACGCAGCCACAAGGAGGCTCAATCTTTGTTGATAAAGGCACGTCATTATCGTCTCAATCATAAACCTTTTACCTATCACATCACCATCAACAGCGATAAAAATGTCAAGGCGGCCATTCGTATCTTCCTTGGACCCAGCTACGATGTTCACGGCCACGAACTGGATATAAGCGAGAATTATATGAACTTTGTCGAGATGGATCAATGGCACGTTGACCGTTAGTATCTCTTTCAAATATCTCTTTTGCTACGAAATCCTTGATTGATAAAATTTCTTTAATTAACTTTTCTCAATCAAACGTATAACATTTCAAATAACTTTTTAAGGACTGTAGGACCGTAACTAGTATCGCTTGATTGTTATAGTAAAGCCTGGAACCAACAAGATTGAGCGCAATAGCTACGAATCTATCTATGTCGTTCCGGATGAGGTGCCAAGCGAGGTTCTGTACAAGAAGGTGATGAAAGCTTTCGAGGGTGGCGAGACTTTCACTTACCCAGATCAGATTTACGGTTTCCCCGACCGTTTAATACTTCCTAAAGGCAAGAAAGAGGGTATGCCATTCAAACTCTTCGTGTGCGTGTCATACTTTGATGAGACAAGAGCCGTCAAGGTAGATTTTCCCGTTTGGGGTCCAAGAGTAATAGACTTTCTACCATTGGGATATCCGCTCGACAGACCGGTTGCCTTCAACTTCACCGCACCCAATTTCTACATGAGAGATGTTCTAATTTTCCATAAGCAGGCGGAAGAATTGAATCTCACCGTATAAAACTCGTCATTATACTCCGTTATTGTGTCAAATTTCGCGCTTATATATTTCATTATATATCAATTATTTAACATACGCGCGATTGCCGGGATAAGCAAGTTAATTTATTCGCACTGAATAGAAAAGAGATGTATAATATAAATAAGAGAAGTGTAAGTAATGTTTTTTCCGTCATCAAGTGTGTAACCATCTGATGCGACATAAATTGCAAAATAAATTTAATAAAAATATCCTTTACCATTTATTCTCTGCTTTGACTTTTTCGCTTTCTTACTTCTGTTTCAACAATATTCTGTTTCAGTCGATTCATTATATCAGTCCTTGCATTTTTCTTTATTTATAAGGAAAAATTTCTTCTATTTAATTTAGTCTATTCGAATAGGAATGAAAAAAGTTTCGTTTATATCTATTAATTACCTAATATTTCTAGGATATATTTTATCCTAGTATTCAGTATCTATAATAATTTATCTCCTCTGCTCTCTATTTTTATCGAGATACATATAAATAACGAAAATAGAACGAGATTTGAAAGAGAAACAATGGAACAATGCAAGAAGAAACAATGAAAAATACAAAAATAATAAATACCGATCATCTTTAGCGCTGAATAATTAAATAATATAGTCAAACAAGAATTTAATTTGTAAATTTTGTTTTTTTTGTCATGATATGTACACGCAATTTATATATATATATA